AAATGAATAAATCCATTCCAAGAAGTTCTGGAACATCTTACTTAACCCTATCTCCTCCCATACCTCCCAGCCTTAAAAAAGGCCCATGGAAAAGACTAAATCTACTCTCAGTAGGGACACTCCCTATGTTTTCTCTGCCTTTATATTTTTGTAATTTTAATGACTCCTTTGACTCTGTCCCATGCAGCAGAGAAATGAAACTTGTATAGTGGATTATCCTTACTCTACTTATAAACCAGCTCTGGATGGAGTAGCTAGTCTATCCTGGAGCTGATACTCTTTTAAATTGACTGACAAAGTGAGCAATCTACATTGAGGTCATGGCAGGGGTGAACAGGAGAAAATGCAAACTCTTTCAAAGCAAAGCTAGTTTTGGAACTCATCATATATAGGACCAACAACATGCCTGGGTCACTTAACGGAGGTAAGCACAGCACAGGGTGACCTCTGAGGCAGGACTGCCTGGGTTGGTGGATTGGCTTTGCCACTTTTCCAGCTGTGAGGCCTCGGGCCAGTTGCTTAACCTCTCTGGGCCTGTATTTCTTCGCCTGTAAAAGTACCTACTTCAGAGGATTGTAATGAGGATTAAATTTGCTAATCCTGTAAAACTTGAAACAGTGCCTGGCACATAGGGAAAACATTCAGTAAGTGTTAGCTATCAACATTATTAAACCACCCACACACTGTACTTGTGGGTTTTTTTAAATGTGGCCACAGCATTGAGGTGTCAGCTTATTTTGTACAACCAAAAATGGAAAGAAGAGTCAAGGTGGGGAAGGATCCGACACCGTCATGACTAAGGCATATTTCTCTATAAAAAACAAGAATCACACAATAATTGGCTAACTTAATTCCCAAACCGGAGGCCATTAAAATTCATGAAAGTCTACCAAACTTAAGTCCAAGCAAAAAGAGAAGACTGATGAAAGAAGGCACCTATTTCATTTTAAAGTCAAGGTTTCAGTCAACGTTCAGGCCTCTCTTGGCCTATGGGAGGGTCTCCTGAACCACTGCCCCATATTTCTCAAACGCCTTCACAACCTTGGAGCAGAAGGTAAGGACTTTACACCGAAAAGTGATGAGCCACTCTGTGGGGTCCTTGCAACACCTGCTAAATTTGGGAGGCTTTATCAGAGGGAGAAAAAGAGCGAGTTGGATAATGAACTGGAAAAAAAAAAAAGAAAGAAAGAAAAAGAAAAAAACCCAACCACCAACCTGGAGAGTCTTAATCCCAGACCAAAACAAACTCAGTCCGGTCAGGTGAACCACACCTACCAGCACTTTTGAATTTTGTAGCAGGCAAGGCAGCTAGCTGAAAAGCGCCTGGTTTCTGGCGGGTGGCAAGGTCAGCGCCCTGTGGCCACCCTGCTAGATGCCCCATCCCACCCCGACCCCTCCCGGCCCAGCCCAGCGTGGCTCACGAAGCCCAGGGCAAAGAACCGCGCACGATCCAATCCGAAGACTTCATGCAAAAGTGCCCAGGCCCTGGGTTTACTGGTTAGGCCACTAGCAGGACTGCCTATCGGCGGATTAAACCCATCAGCGACTTGCTCAGACACAGCCAAACCCTCGCTCTCCTGCAGACTGCCCGGCTGACTATCGGATTCAACCAACCGTACCCACAGTTGCTTAAATGCCTGCAAAACGTCTCCCCCCCTCTCCTCGTTTCGGCTTCCGAGGACCTGTTTTAAAACCACGTCTCTGAGCTGCAATGCAACTCTTTCGGGTTAATGATTATTTAGGCGCTACCGCAGTCTGCGGCCTGACCGTGCGGGCGGCGGGGAGCTGCAATGGGGGAGCACACACCTCGGGGGCGAGCAGCAAGGCTTGGCTGAGCCCCGGGAAACTCCGGCCGGGCCCCGGCTTTTTAAAGAAAACTGTTCTGGGACAGGCGTTTCCTCTCGGGTGCGGTCTGTTTAAAGTTAAAACGGCTGCCTTCAAAAAATAATCGAGTGCACACATTGGTCCAGACATCCAGAATAGTCCAAATCAATTAAAAAATTAAGCAAGCAGATGGTATTTAAGAAGACTTATGGTGGTGGCGTTTTATAGATTTATTTTTTAAATGTTTTTCCTGGAAAACAGGCATTAAGCCTGCGGTCCCGCCGGGCGCTGCTGGAGCAGCCCGGGATCGCGGCGCGCGGGGCGAGCTGCGCGGTCTGCAGTTTGCGCCTCCTGCCAGCGGGGTCCGCCGGGGGTGATCGCCGCGGGCCCGGGGCACCCCCCGCCCCCGGTGCGGCAGCTCTGGCTCAGGGGAAGACGGCGAACCCCCCCCCCCCCCCGCCGCCCCGCAGCGCAGCCCGCTCCCGCCCGGGGCTCCCCGGCTGCGCTCCCGGCGGCAGGCGCGCGGCGAGGCTTTCCGGGGCGGCCCGGGGCTTTATTCGGCACTTTGGAATCCATCAAAAGGAACGTGGCAGGTGGAGCGCGGCCGCCTCGGAGCCTGCGTGCATCTTCCTGTGGGGATTTCCACTGCCCGCCCCGGGTGCTTCTAGAAGCGCCTGACTTGACGGGTTCGGCTCCTTTCCTGCCAGGTCCTCCCAACCCAGCCCCTAGTTTTCTGATCTAAGAAAATCCCGGGCTGCCTCCGGCCCCGAGGTGGATGCCTACCCCCCACCCACCCACCCCGGAAGGGAGCGCTCGTCAACAGCCTGCCATCCCGGCCCCCCAGGACCCTCATCCCGGGAGGAGGAGAGGCGCAGTGGGAGCCTCAGGAACAACAATGCGCTCAGTGGCACCGCCTAACAGCCCGAGAGGCCCCCGCGTGCCAGCCGGGCACCCGAGCGCACCGGCGCGCCCCGCCCCGCGCGGTGGTAACCACGGGATCCCCCCACTGCACCGATGGGAGCACCGAGGCTCGGCGCCAGCAGCGAGCGAGCCGCGCGAGCCAGGACGCGCGTCCGGACCGGGGACTCCAGAGCGCGCGGTCTTACGAGCGGCGTCCACGGCCCCGGAGCGGTGGGCAGCGTGACGGTCACGGCTGGCTACACCTCGGGACCTGGGCAACTCCTGACGATAATAAAAACATTAAGGACAAAAGAGAGGGGGAGGGCGAGGCTGGGAAGAGAGCGATTTTAATCCGCTGGGTCAGCCCCCTTTTTCGCTCTCCCGAGGCCGAGACCGGGGGGGATGGGAGCAGGGAACGGGGTTCGGCTCGACTCTCCCCTTTTGTTTTCCGAAGTCTGGACACCTCGGGGGCGCGGAGGGCGTCTGCCGGGGACTCGATGGGAGTCACACTTCGGAGGGTTGGGGGTTGATGACCAGAGGGAACGGGTGGGGGCCGTCGGCCCGGCCCCTGGTTGGCGACCAAGTTCCCGAAGGCCAGAGTGTGGACCCCCTGCCCACCCGCGCCTCCCGAGAAGCTCGAGCAACCCAGAAGCCCCCTCCAAAGACCGGTAGCTTTGGAGAGCGTAGCGCAGAGGCCGCGATGATGACCCTGAGGGCCGCGGCCCCTTTGGAGACCCGACCCACACCCCGACCCGAAAACCGCGCTTCCGGAAGCCCGGATCTCCGGGCAACGCGCCTCTCTCCATCAATGAAACCCCCTACGCGCGCGGCGCCCCGACGTGTACCGGGCCCGCGGAGACGCGCGTCCGTGCCCGCGCTCTCCCGGCACCCGGGCCCCGGAGGCGGAGGGCAGCGAGCGGAGCCCGAGGCGCCCCGGAGCCTTCCAAGCTGCGCGCCGCTCCCCGCCGGCTGCAGTGCGCGCCTTTGCCCGACAGGGACCAGCACCGCTCCACGCTCCGCGCCGCCCGCGGGTCTCCCCGTCTGCCAGGCGGAGGCGCAGGGCCACCCGCCCAGCTCACCCTCCCGAGCCCAAGCAGCCCGCCAGCCAGGCGGCTCCGACCCTCCGCGGATTCCAGCAAGGAACACGATTGTAACAAAAAAAAGTTTGCAGACACCGTCTCCCCCCCCCCACCCCCATCCCCATCTGGGGAGCAGAAGTTGCTCTAGGGTGGAGACCGCGTCGGGCTGGGCGCATCACGTCCCGGGGTCCGAGAGGAAAAGAAAATTAAAACACAAGCAACACTGGATCGCTTGGTTTGCGCAACGGCCACGACTAGAGGGCTGCGCGCTCCCCTGGGCGCCATCCCAGTCGCGGGGCCCCCTTCTTTGACCAATTCGAGGAGCACCGTGGGCCACGGAGCCGCGGGAGCCCCTCGAGAAGTTTCTCTGCGCCGTGGAGAGCGCGGAGCCCCGCGCACCAGCCCCGCGTACCAGCCTGGGGCGGACTCTGGGCGCCGCGGGTTCTCCCTCCGTCTGTCCCTCCCCGCCCTACCGGTGGTCGCAGGCTGTGCCCCCGTCACCTCCCCAGCACACGCCACCTCTCCCTCCCTCCCTCTTCTGCCGGTCCCGATCGCGGCCGCCGCCCCGCCGCCCCGGCCCCCGGCCCCCGGCCCCCGGCCCCGGGCGCAGACTCACCGGTACCAGGCGAGGCCCTTGTCGTAGCTGCGGTCGAAGAAGTGGGGCTCGGCGCCCACGGCGCGCACGTCGGGGTGCACGCGCAGGAACTCGAGCAGCGCCCGCGTGCCGCCCTTCTTCACGCCGATGATAATGGCCTGCGGCAGCTGCTTGCTCCCGGACCCACTGAAGAAGCTGGAGATGGAGCTGGGGGAGTCCGGCGACTCGGGACTCGGCTCCTCCTGGCTCGCGGCGCCCTCGGCCGGCTCCTGGCCCGCGGCCGGCGGGGTGGCCGGCGCCGCCGGGAACGGCAGCCTGGGGGCAGTCCCGTCGGGCCCCGCAGCCGGGGCCGGCGGGGCGTGGGCGGCGCGGGACCCCGAGCCCAGCAGCAGCAGCCCCGGCGCCGCGGCGCACGAGCCGGCGCACGAGTACAGGAACATGTAGAGCCAGACGCAGAGCATGGCGAAGAGCAGCGCGAGCTTCCTCCTCACCGGCGGCGGGGACGGCGGCGGCTGCGGCAAGAGCCGGCCGGGGACATCGAGGCAGGATCGGCCGCCGCTCAGGCGCTGCCCCATGCGCAGCCCGGGGGCGCGGCGAGGGACATGGCTCAGCACATGGCGCGGGCCCGCCGGGGCTGTGAGCGCGCAGAGGGTTCCCTGGCCCGCAGGACGCCGGGGCGGCTCGGCTTATTGCCCCCGCGCGCCCGCCGCCGCCGCCGCCGCCGCTGCCGCCGCCGCCGCCGCCGCCGCCGCTGCTGCTCTTCCCCAGGTGGCGGCGGCAGCTGTAGCGGTGGCGGCTTTTGACATGTTGCCCGGGAGGAGCCTCAACTGGAACGAAAGTCGGGGTGGCGGCAACTGCTGCTGGCCGCGGGGCTGCTCCGGCTCGGGCGGGACAACGCCGCTGCCCCGCTCCCTGCTCACCGCAGACGGGGCGCACGGCCGCTCGCCTCCTCGCGGTGCTGCCGGCCGAGCCCGGGGAGCGGCGCCGGCACTTCCCCGCGGAGGCTGCGAAGAACTGCGCAGGAAGGGAGCGAGAGACCGAGGTGGGGGGGCGGGCCCAGCCTTCCGGAGTGACGGGCCGCTCCGCCTACCAGGAGCCCCGAGCGCCCCGCGACTACGGGCGCTCCGCGGAGCGCGCGGCAGCCAACCGGCTCCCGGAACGTGGGGGTGTGGAAAGGGCTCGGGGCGGTGGGGAGAGGTCGGGGGCGCCTATTGGCTGCGGGCGGGGCGCGGGGCGGAGCCGGGGGGCGGAGCCAGGGGCTGGTGACAGGAGCGGATGGTCGGAGGATGCCCGAGTGACAGGGCGTGGGGAGAGGTCCGACCCCGCGCAGCCGAGATGCGGTGCGCTCCCGCTCCCGCGCACCTTTACGCGCTCGCTCCCCGCGAGCCCGCCCTGGCGTGTCGCTGCGCTCGTGTCGGGACTCGAGTCCAGATCCAGGTGTCTGGCTGGCGGGCTCGTGACGTGTGTGTGTGTGTGTGTGTGTGTGTGTGATGTGCAGTAGGAAGGGGGTGGGAGGAGCGAGAGTCAGGCCACGGATGCTTGCGGCCCCCAGGCCCCACCGCCCCACGCCGCGGGGACTCGGAAAGGGCACCGGCTTAGGCAGTTTAAGTGGCAAGTTTGTAAATGGCTGTCAAACTTTATATTAAAAAAAAGTTTTTCCTTCTTATTCTTTGCCAGGACTTGATCTCTTTGGGGCTGCGGGTGGCAGCCGAGAGATTGGTGTCAACTGTCCTCAAGAAAAATCTTCCCTACGTTCCCAAACCTCCGGGAAAGGTCGGGCGGGGTCGGGCGGCGAGGGAAGAGGTTTAACCGTGAGATAGAGGCCGGAGGAGAGTTTTCGTGGTCGGAGAGGGGGTGTGAAAGTCACGTGCAGAAAGTTTCTGTCCCGATACGAGGTTTTTTTTGGGGGGGGGGGGCGCGCGTCATGGTTTACGACGCTGTTTTTCCCCGAATCAACATGAAAGCCAACATTCCATTCGCCTTCATTCGGGGGACAGTGCGGTTTGCTGAGCTGTCACGCAGATTATGAGGTGGTGTTCCTTTCCCACCGATTTTTTTTCTTTCTTTTTAAGGCAAAGTCAATTTGGAGCTCATCGATCGCTGAGCTGCACGCATTTAAGCCACCAATGCAGCAGGGGTGAGCTGCTCTCCCCGGTTCTCTGCAGAGGGGACCCCCGGGGACCCAAGCTTCCACGGAGCTGCAAACCCTCACTCTGCGGCATCCTGGACCCGGGAGTGTGGTTCAGAAAGTTGTCAGCGCCGGCCACCCCCGCTCCGGCGCGGCCAGCGGGCCTCCAGCGCCCGGCCCCGCGCCTTTCCGGGACAGGATGCTCCTTCCGATTCCGACCCCGGCGCGGCCCCCAGGGGGCTGAGGGCGCCCTCCCCGGGGTGACTCACCGGCAGCAGCCGCCCACGCTGCTGCATATCCCGGTGGAAGCAGGCGTGCGCGGCGGCCGCGCCCTGAACCCTGGTCCCTCTGCCCGCTGTCCCCCGGTGTCCCCGCGGCCCCACAATCCTTCCTCTGGGGCGACTTCCCCTCTGGCCCCAGCCCTTAGCACACACCTCCGGTTGGGAAATGGGCCAAAGAGGGGCGACGAGGACCCGACAGGGTTCAGATGACCCGGAGGCCACGGTGGGACCCACGCGCCCCGGGCTGTACCCTGCGCCACCTCTTTGCAACCTAGACATTTTCCTACAAAACTGCTGAGGGGGAGATAATTTAGGTAGAGGATTCTCCAGCCCCTTTTATATTCGCCTGGGGCGGGGGCGTAGGAGGAAGGTGCGGAGGAGATGCCTTTCTACCTTTTCTTTTACCTTTGTCGCTGGGATGTTGTTTGTTCTTCAGAAATGACTTACTCGGCCTAAGTTTTAAATTCCGTTAGTTAATTATTAATTTATTTAAACTTCGAAGACCCCCTCCCCCCAGAGTGCGTTTCTGAGTCTTAGCCCAACCCTTTATTTTGCAAATGGAAGAAGGGAAGTGTGTCTCCAAAGGGTGTGTCTCGTAATAAATTCATATTATTGGGGGGGAGGGGCTGTGAGCTTGACTTTTGAGAGATTTGGGGGAGAGGGTAGTAGTGTTTTGTGATGTGTGTGTTCGGGCGAATTGTGGGTACCGCTGTGGCAAACATCAGGCCTGGTTGGGTGTGAATCTTCTAGTTTTATGTATGTGTGTTTTTAAGGATTTTGAGACTCCCAATAAAAATGATCTCTGTCCCGAGGGCTAGAGAAGCCCTGGGTGTAAAAGAAAAGAAGTAGGGGATTACAAATGCAAGCCGCCGGATCTATTTAGGTCTCTTTTTCCCTGGGGGGTGAAGGGAGGGAGGGAGTGGGCATCGGAAATTGCCCGGAGTGTTCCGCAGAGCTGAGCCCCGCAGAGCCGCGCACCCCAGAGCCGAGCAAGCGGCCGCCCGCGTCCACCAGTGCGCATTCAGTCCGCACCCGAACAATGGAGAGTTCTGGACGCCCCCCCCCCCCGCCCGGGTCGGCGGGTCATCTGCGGCCAGAGCAGCCGTCGGGACCGGCTGCGAGGCGGCTGTGGAGCAGAGTCAGGGCTGGGCCCTTCCGTCCACTTGGTTGGTCGGTCCCCTGGGCTCAGAAGGCGCCCCGACACCCCGACACCTGGCTGCGACTACCTGCGGGCCCTGCTGTCTCTCCCGTGCTCCCATTCTGCAGGTGCCAAACCCGAGTCTCACCCCTGCTCAGAGAGCGGCTGGCGAAGCTGTCCGTGAACCCAGTTTGAGCTCCCGGCCTTACACCTGGCCCAGCAGTGCCGGGGTCCCCCGTACCCCACCCACCCCCGCCGCGCCCCAGCCAGCGGCTAAGCCACGCCACCCGAAACTGGAGAGAGAGTTACCTCTTGGTAAAAATTATCTTTTAATGTTAAACGTTTGCATTTAGAAAATCTGGAAAGGAGCGAGTTCCCTTGGAGCGCCCCTGTAAAGCGTGTTTTACTTTGGCGGGTTTGGGATTACTGACGGGGTGCTCACCTGGGGCCTCTGAAGGTTCTAACCCGGCCGCCTGGGGCGGGGCGGGGGGGGCAGCCCGTGTTCTCTTTCCCCGGGTTCTGCTTCCAACGACCCGCCGAGTGACCGCTCCGGGTCACTCCCTGGCCCTAAAATTCCCCATCTGTAAGAGAGGGGACTGGAGCCAACAGATCGCCGCGGGGCTTCCCGCTTCTGGCCTCGGGGAGGGAGGCGCCCGCAGCGGCTAGGGACCCACGGCTCCCAGGTCGGTGCCCCACCGCCGCGCCCTGCGGGGCGGTCCCGGGAACCCCGACCCTCCTCCCCTCCCAGGGGCCCCCGTCCCACCCCCGCACCGCAGCCAGGGGCTTCGCAGCTGCAAGCTGACCGCTCCTCCTCCGCCTCCTGCCCCCCGGGGTGGGGCGCGAGGTGTGCGGTCCGGTCGCGGCCGCGCCTCCAATGCCCGCCCGCCAGGGGGCGCTCTGACAGCCGCCCGGGGACGGGAGGCGGGACCGCCGGCTGCCGCGGCCCGCGGGTCACCCCAGCCCTGGGGAAGGCGGCTTTCCCCTCCGCTGGAGCTTCCGCGGCGCCTCCTGGCCCCCCGAGTCCCCGGTGTCGCCCTCCGCCGCGTCACCTCCCATCCCCTCCGGGGGCGGAGGGTGCGCGGGGCCCTGCGTGCGGGGGGGGGGCGGGGGGCGGGCACCTGCTCAGCCCCGCGGCTGCGGCGGGCCGGGCGGAGGCGGGCTTCCGAATTCCCGGTCAGCGTGGCGGCGCGCGTCACCGGAGCGAGGAGCGCTTCCCCGTGCGCCCCGGGGGGGGGGGGGTGCGTACTGGCCCTGCCTCGGTGGGACCCCCGGGCGACGCTGGGGGCGTGGATCAGCGGCGGGTCAGCGCAGGGGAGCGCAGGGGTGCGGGAAGAGCCCTCTGCGAACCCGGGGAGGCGGCTGGTTGCGCGGACCCTCCAGCTGGAAGTTTGATGCCCAGACTGGTTCGGTGGCTCTGTGTCGCCGGGAGTCGAGGTTGTGCGCTGATTGCACAACGCACCCCGCGCTGAGCCTGGAGGTTTAGGGGCCGGGCCTTTGAAGGCTGGCTGCCTCCCTCCGGACGTCCCCGGGCAGCCCCTCCACACAGCCCTGCTGTCACCGGGTCCCGGCGCGGCTGTCCCCCTCACCTCTCCAGGCCGGGCCCTTCCTCCGTGCCCTGCACCCTGCTGGTCCTGTGCGTTCTCTCCTCCTCCAGCACCTTCGCGTGTAGTCCTTTTATTATACTCCCCTTAAATTATCCAGTCGGAGCGTGTCCTGTCTTTCCTGCCAGGCCCCTGAATGCCAGACAGCAGGGCCACACTAGTTCCCGACCGTTCCCTGGCTGTGTGACTTTGCACAAGTGACACAACCCTTCTGAGCCCCAGTTCCACGTCACTGTCGTCTCCTGCGGGCGCCTTCGGCCCCTCTTCCTCCACTGGGCTCTCCTGGCCCCGGAAATCCTCCCAGGCCAATCCTGTCCTCAGCCTTTCTGGCCTGAGCCGCTGAGCTGGGGGTGGGGGAACCCGGCCACAGGGGTCACGGCACCTGCCTGAGATTCCCCCTCCACACTTACTGTGGTGGCACCAAAGGCGTCTGCAACTCTCCCGTGTCTCCAGGAGGCCCGCTTTGCCAAGAGACAGCACGTCTCTGAGAACAGAGATGCAAACAGGGGAGTGTCTACACCTTCTCCCCACTAGACGTCCACACTGACCGTCACCCACCCCACCCCCCGCCTGGGGCGGGCCCAGCACAGAGGGAGTCATCAGCCTCTGCCGTGGTGGAGGCTGCGGGCTCGCAGGCCGGGTGGGCGGAGGCCGCGCTGCCCCAGCTGCCGCTGTGCCGTGGGCCCCCCAGGGCTGGGGGGCTGCGCGAGACGCCGCCCACTCGGGGCGCCTCTTCCCAGGGCGGCCCCACCCAGGGACTGGCGCGGGGGTGGAGGCTGCTGGTCCCAGGCCCTCCGGAGGGCAGTCCCCAGAGCCCCCCCGGGGTCCAGGCCTCGGGCCTGCGTCACCGCTGGAGCTCTCCCTCTGCCCGGGCCTGCGTCCTGCTCCCCACCCCTCCCTCCACAGGGGCGGGTAGGGGCCTCGGCACCATACGGGTAACACCCCCCGGGAGCCCAGCGCGCCCCTCCGCGTGGGTTCCGTCAGCACCCCCCTCGCTCAGCTTGCTGCTCTTCTTCAAAGCCCAACACATGCACAGCTGCCCCTTTCTCACGTGGTATTTCTTCCTTACGACGCCAGTTTCTTCTCCTCCTCCTCCTGCTTCTGCTTTTTCTTCTTTTTCTGCTGCTTATTCTGCTTCTTCCTCTTCCTCTTCTCCCCCTCCTTCCTCCTCCTTCTTCTTTTTCTTCTTCTGCTTTTTCTTCTCCTCTTCCTCCTCTTTATCTTTCTCCTCCTCCTCCTCCTCCTCCTCCTCCTCCTCCTCCTCCTCCTCCTCTTCTTCTTCTTCTTCTTCTTCTTCTTCTTCTTCTTCTTCTTCTTCTCCCTCTCCTCCTTCTCCTTCTCCTTCTTCTTCAAATAATGGAAACATTTATACAAACACTGAAAAAATCAAATGTGTAAGAAAGGCAGAGTCAGGTATGACTCCCTGAGCCCAAACCCCAAGCCAGCTCTCCGGAGGCAACCATCCTTGCTAAATATTTAATGCAAATGCAAGTATATGTTTCCCTGCTTTTTTTCTTTTTTGTCTAATGAGGACATTCAACAGTAACATTCTGCCAAAATATGGGGGATCAATCAATATCAGTTTGTGTGTGGTTTTTTTAAATGCTAACTCTAGATAACTTCAATTTAAAATTAAGGAATTATTGGGGCCCCTGGGTGGTTGAGTGTCTGCCTTTGGCTCAGGGCGTGAACCTGGAGTTCTGGGATCGAGTCCTGCACGGGGTTCCCCACAGGGAGCCTGCTTCTCCCTCTGCCTGTGTCTGCCTCTTTCTGTGTCTCATGAATGAATAAATAAAATCTGAAAAAAAAAAAACTGTAGCTAGGGAAGGACGAGTGTACAGGATGTTTATGAGGCAGTGCCCTTGGGACCAACACCTAGAACGGGGTGAAGGGGCAGGCTTGGGCAGAAGGAGGTCCAGCTGTGATGTAGGTGCAGTGTCCTTTGCTGACCCTACAGGAAGCTCTGGAGCTCGGATTGCCCTCCACATATGTCTGGAGTTGGCTTCGATGACCAGGCTTCTACCACTTCAGAAGGAAAGCTGGCTTATTTGAAACATCAAACCTATTCTTTGACCTTGTTGGTTTTTCAGAAGCATTGTATACATAATTTTTTTCATTGTAATTTTTTGAGAGTTTAGGAATTATTATTCTTACTCCTCACTTTTATTTAATTGATAGGCTTTAGAGCAGTTTTGGGTTGATGGAAAAATTGAGTGTAAAGTATAGAGCTCCCATTCACCTCAGCACACTCCCACCCACACTTTGCCCTGATATTAAAATCTTGTGTTAGTTTGGTACATTGGTTGCCTCTGATGAGCCAATATTGACACATTATTATTATGTAAAGTCCACAGCTTAATTGGGGTATAGCTTGCTTTGTGTTACACATTCAATGAGTTTTTTTTTTTCCCCGCCCCCCCCCTTTTTTTTTTTTTATATTCAATGAGTTTTTGACAAATGTGGTGGCAACATGTACCCACCATTATGGTGCCATGCAGACAATTTCATTGCCTAAAACACATCCATCTACTTGTCCCTCCCTCCTCTCATGCCCCTGGTAACCGCTGGTCTTGTTGTCTCCACAGTTGCATTTTTTTCCAGAATATCCTATAGTTGGAATCACACAGCATTGCTGTTTTAGATTGGATTCTTTCACTTAGCAATATGCATTTAGGACTTCTCCATGTCTTTTTTTTTTTTTAAGATTTTATTTATTTATTCATGAGACATAAGGAGAAAGAGGCAGAGACATAGGCAGAGGGAGAAACAGGCTCCCTGTGGGGAGCCCGATGTGGGACTCATCCCAGATCCTGGGATCACACCCTGAGCCAAAGGCAGACTCAACCGCTGAGCCACCCAGGCGTCCCCAAAATATTTTTTTAAAAGATTTTTAAAATTTATTTATTCATGAGAGACACAGAGAGAGAGAGAGAGGCAGAGACACAGGCAGAAGGAGAAGCAGGCTCCATGCACCGAGCCCGATGTGGGACTCGATCCTGGCTGGGTCTTCAGGATCAGGCCCTGGGCCAAAGGCGGCCCTGGGTGGAAGGCAGCACCAAACTACCGAGCCACCCGGGCTGTCCCCCAAGATATTTTTTTAATTAGGAAATATCTCAAACCTCTCTTTGAAAAGCAAAGAGAACCATACCATAAACATCTACAACTCCACTATCCAGATGTTTTAGCATAATTTATCTTTTTAATACAATATTACAAAGACAGTTGAGCTTACCCCTTTTTATTTTAATTCATGACACAGGCTTAGTTTTATATTGTATTTTATTTTATTTATTTAAATAAAATAAAAATATTAAAAGATTTTAATAAATCTAATTTATTTATTAGAGATACACAGAGAGAGAGAGAGAGAGAGAGAGAAACAGGCTGCATGCTGGGAGCCTGATGTGGGACTCGATCCCGGGTCTCCAGGATCACACCCTGTGCTGAAGGTGGTGCTAAACCACTAAGCCACCGGGGCTGCCCTGTATTGTATTTTAGATGTTATTTTCCATCTTTTATCTTTGCTTCTTTTTCCCTCATTTCTGATCTTCTCTTGGATTGTGTTTTCTACATTTTTTCCCCTTAGTCTCTTATTGATTTGTAAACTATAGATTGAATATATATATAAAACCATCCCTTTGGTGGTTGTGGTAGATCATTACACTCATGGCCTGCAGTATAACATGCCGGCCACCTGGTTTCTTTCACAACCTCTCATTGTTGTGCAGCCAACCTCTAGAACTCTTTTTGTCTCGCAAAATAGAAACTCTCTGCTTATTGGACAATAATCCTTAATTTTTCCTCCCCAGCCACCGGCAACTGTCATTCTACTTTCTGTCCCTATGTATGTATGTATGTATGTATGTATCTTTTTGTGTCTGATTTCTTTCATTCAGCATTATGTCCTCAAGGTTCATCCATACTATAGCATACGTCCGGATTTCCTTCTTTTTTATGGATGAATAATATTCTGTTGCACATGCCACATTCTGTTTATCCATTCATGAGTTGCTTCTGCTTTTGGCTATGATGACTTAGTGCTGTTATGAATGAGGGTATAGAAATATCTCTTTGAAAACTTCCTGTCAATTCTTTTGGAGATATAGCCAGAAATGGGACTGTTAGATCATATGGAAATTCTGTTTAATTATTTGAGGAGCTGTTTCCCATAGCAGTTTGATGTGCACAAGGATTCCACTTTCTCTACATCACTGTAAACTTTTTTTTTTTTTAGCAGTGGCCATCCTAATAGATGTGAGCTGGTATCTCCATGTATTTGTTTGTTTGTTTTTTAAGATGTTTTTAAAATGTTTTTATCCATGAGAGACACAGAGAGAGAGGCAGATAAAGGCAGGGAGAGAAGCAGGCTCCCTGTGGGGAGCCCCTTGTGGGACTTGATCCCAAGACCCTGGGATCACTCCCTGAGCCAAAGGCAGATGCTCAACCACTGAGTCACCCAGGTGCCCCACAATGTGTTTCTTTTTATTTGCTTTTCACTAATAATCAGTATGCCTTAGCACATTCTTACTTATACTTGGGCCCAGTTTATATATAGGACAGCAGATTCCTGTACATGAACATAGGAACTATCAGTCACCTCAACATTTACTTACTTTTTTTAAGACTTATTTATTTATTTTAGAGAGAGAGCACAGGTGGGAGGGGCAAAAGAAGAAAGAGAGAGAAAAAACAAAATTAAAAAAACTTTTTAATTTTTAAAAAAAAGGGGGGGTCCTTGGGTGGCGCAGCTTTGGCACCTGCCTTTGGCCCAGGACGCGATCCTGGAGACCCTGGATCGAATCCCACGTCGGGCTCCCGGTGCATGGAGCCTGCTTCTCCCTCTGCCTGTGTCTCTGCCTCTCTCTCTC